TTACTTGAAGAATTTAAAAATGGAAAAGCAAATAAGTTACAATAATATCAGAAAAAAAATTTGCTTCCCTCTCAATCCATCAATTTGTTTAATATAATCAACACAATCTATTTGATTTGTGATGAATTCTGGGGGTGGAAAAGTGTGACAGAATGAGATTCTGAAAGAATAAATCTACTGGACATGACTTAAAGAAATACCATCAAAAGAAAAAGGAGGAAAGAAACATTGTAAAATGTTGGATGTATGAATAAGGCCATCCATGGTGTAGCTTTCTGAAGAAATATTGGATTAGCAGCATGGAAAGAAATAAGAGGGGACAAATGTAACATTCTTCTTTGTCTTCTTAAAAAAAACCCTGCTCCATGAGGAATCAAATGTTTCATAAAATGGTTTTATCTTTAAGAAAAATGATTTTGGTTTCGTTAGCTATTAGAGGTTCTTACATTTGTGTCTTAAGAAACAGTGATGTTTTTAGATTAAATAAAAATTTTGTTCTTTTGTCTGTACAATAAGAAGAAAGATAGTTTTCACCCATCCTCTTTCCTCCCTCTAGCTTCAGGGAGGTTGCTGATAGATATAGTACTTCAAGGAAAACACTGGAAAACATATCTCCCTATTCTGTTGTTCTAAGCTCTCATTGAATCAAAAGCGCCCATCGTTTTAGAAACCTATTCTTATATGTTATTTGTTTCACAGTAAAGGAATCCTGCAGGATCACAACATTTGAATTATTCTCACTGTTTGTTTGGTAGCCACCACATGATTCCTGGATGATTTTGTACAAAATCAGAAGAAGTGATAAGTGAAGACAAATTAAAAATTACTTATCCAATGGAAATCCTCTGATAATCAGGTCCATTTGAAAAGTACAGACTATTTTATTTCTTAGAATTGGCTCCTTCTGAATTTGCAAGTATATAGAGTCAGCACTTCCCTGCTGACTCTATATACTTTTTAGAAAAGCTAGCTGTAATCACCATCAAAAAACTGTCCATTGAATTTTAGCTTTTAAGTATTTATACTGGCATTTGATTGGCAAGAAGTTGAAAGAATACGTTCTGATTTCAGATTCGCAGCTGGAGATTAGTTTTAGCTTCTATATAAATCTTTGCTATTTAAATGCACCCACTTGATATAAAGGTTATTGAGTATGTCTGTGAAGAATTCTACAAGGTCCTTTAATTTGACAATTTACTTTTTTATCACTAGGTTAGAATCAGAATGTAGGAAAGCTACCATTTCACAGAATGTGAAGTCTATTTGGAAATACATTTGGTGTGTCAATGCTGCTAACATTGAATGTTCCCATGCTGACAACTGATGAAAATGCAGTCATTTCCTCTTTCTCTTTAATGTGCTTTTTTTGGTATGTAGAAATTAGATGCAGTAAGGGGGGTTGGGATGAAAGCTCAAGCTCAGCTAGCCATAATAATAACTCTGCTTTGTGGGAACCCAAGGACACACTGATAATGTTTTGGCAGGTTGAGGAGCTAAGGAGGAAGCCCTAGTTTTAGGCTAATTGGAGAATGTGATTTATGACAGCTTATTGGAGGTGGGAATTGCACTCTGTTACTTTGTATCTCGGGGAAGGGAATTTATTTTTTGGGTTTAACTATGTAGTGCCGATACTTTGTCTCCTGAATAAAATGTTCTTTAAGGAAGAATCTTGCCTTGAAATTCTTTTGATGGGTTACATCTATCGAAACCATGACATTGTGTTGATTACTTCAGGGGAAAATGTATTTTTCTTTCTTAAATTTAAATTTATTCCCCCTTTCATCTTTTTTCAACCTCACAATATTATTTTGAATTTTATTTGTCTTCTAGTATTAATTATTATACCCAATTTTTCCTCAGCTTAAAATCTGATCAACATTTCTTCCTTCTTTTTCATCCAACTTATTAACTTAAATATTGAAGGATAATCCTCTCCAAAATGAACAGGATGTACAGGTGAGCATTATTTGAATATGATTTTTGAAATAATTATGTTATTAGTAAAGCCCGATGCTTAACATTATAAAAATAGCTCAATTTTTTTTTACAAAACCTATAGTTAAAGTTCTCTACAGACAAGACTAACATCAAATCAAGACAAAGCAAAACCGAATCAATTTGTATTTGCAGCATATATTATTTCCTTTTTATTTATCTATTTATCTTAGAATCCAGTAGAAGCCTTAGTTTTGCTATTTTGGTTCTTATGTAGGCAATTTTTTCCATGTCAAATAGAACCATTTATATAATCACCCTGCCTATAGTTACCTATGAAAATTGCAAATTGTTCAGTTCAGTATAAATTATATAGGAATTTGCCTATTTCTGTGAGAGAATTTCTTTGTTAAGCCTTATTGTTGTAATAGGATTACAATATAACCAAAATGCAAAATGTGAATGTAAGCAAATTCTAGGTTCCAGGCCACACAAAAATATGAGTTGCTTCAGTTACCAGATTTTTCTTCATGCATTTTTCTTTTATTTGTATATTAGATATACGAATATCTATTGTACATCTATTTGTTTGTATATTAGATTTATTTTTTCCCTCAAAATAAGACTCAAGAAGGCTGACAACAATTGAATACAAAACAACCCCAAACCTGAGTATATACCAGCCTGCACCTCCAATTTGTATGGCAGTTTCTAAATTAAAAACCCTATTTTGCATACTGTAGGATATTATGAGTATGCTTTGACTTAAAGGAGCATTGCACTTATGGTTAAGGTTGATAATCTAGTTTACTTTTCTCTGTATTATTAAAAAGCAATAAGCAAAAATCTTCATTCACCTAAACTATGATCAGCAGTGAAAATCAATACCTGATGATGAAACAGAAGAACATAGGTGCTGTATATTTGGCAACTAAGATAACGATAAAGAATGTATCAATACTTAAAGAAGGAGATCTGATCTTATGGAACCAAGTGTGCAGATGTGAAGATATAGGTTTAATTATGAATGGAAGAGGCAAAATGTATGTCAGAAAATCTGAATTGTTATACTATGTATAAAATCAGGAATTCATAGATTACTACACATGGCAAAAGTATTAATATAAAAGTAGTATTAATTTGAGCATTTATGATAAATATTGTTAAAATAATACAGAATACTAGGATATAAAATATTCTAAATGTGCGACAGATCATTTTTAGGGAAGTTTCAAATAACACTTAGGAGTATTTCGTGCAATCTACTGCAGTGGTCTTATTTTTTTATGGCCCTTGAACTACAGCATTAGAGAATGACATTTTATTCTGACCTTTCTTAAAAATCAAGAGCTTTTAAAGTGTTTAAATATATTAATTATGTTGATGGCTTACTGAGTTAGAAGCCATCTAAACATCAGAGTAAAGATGTTTGACATCTGAATGCATATGTGATTCCTGAGTTATATTTATAGAAACATTTAAATGCTATTTCCAGTTTTGTCAACTTCATATTTTTTTTCAAAATATTCTTATAGTCACCTAAAAAGACTAGGAAATGTATGGTAAACCAAGTAAAATTTATGTAGCATTATATGATGCCATCTGTTTCTAACATAATATATTAAAAGAATGTATGGAATCACTTTTCTGAACTAAGGTAATATTATTTGGATGACAATATAGAGACAGCTAAACATCAGATGAATCATAAGGCTGGACTGAAAGCCATCTTGATTCACACTTACTCATTGTGGATAGATGTCGCTGATCATAGAAGCTTTGACACCAAGGGGGACAGTCAGATATGAATAAGATCTGAAATCCTCTCTTACTTTAATTTAGTTCATACAAAGTTACTCATTGAAAAATAGTGCATATTGCTTTGTTTAAAGAATTATTAGGAGGCCAGAATTGAAATCCACATTGCCAGCCATTTATAACAAACTGTACTGCTCACTATTCTTTTAAAAACTATAATGAAGGGGAAACACAAAAAATATGAGATCCCATATCTTTCTGTTCCTCTTTTATCAATAAAAACCTGGCCACTGGGGAGACAGTACTTCACATGCCCTATATATAGAAACACAGCTATCTGGTAGAAGCTATAATGATTTCAAAATATGTGTAAGATATCACTACACAATGATGTGAATAATTTACTTTCATAATTTTATGTAAAAACATGATACAATGTAATACAAGTATGTAATTGTGTAATCTGCGTGTGATTATGTTAACACAGCTACCATCCCTTCCCTCTGTCCTGTAGAAGGGAAAAAACATTCTATAAGAACAAGATATCTGGAGATCACCTTTTAGTCAGCATTTATTCATACCCCAAATAAAACTGTCAACATGAAACCTTTATTTTCTGTTGCAATGTTATCACATTGTTTAAATATTCTAAAAAACATGTGCAAGAATACACAGATACATGCTATGGCTGGAATTATACATGACTTCTACACAAACAAAATAAAAATTGACAGATAACACACTAAAGCAAAGCCCAATAAATCATATTGCCCACTGTGTAAACTATGATGACTATGAGGAATGACTGTATAATTTTACAATATGTATAAAAGTTTGGCAATTTTTTAAACCAATGTGTGAATGTGCTTTAAAGTATACAAGATAATATTCAGCCAGGAAGAATCATGTTTTATTTAGCCTCATTCATTCTGATACATTAATTTCTCATGGTGAAGTAGATTTCATCAGCGGATTTCACAAGTAGTTTAATGGGTCTTAAGGCATATCAGTGTGCACCTACTTGTGATTTAAAATAAAACAATGCCTCCTATTTTGTAAGTACTCCATGGAAATCTCAGTGCACAGCCACTAATGAATCAGTGCAGCTTCATTTGTCTTAGATAAAAGTTTAATGAGATAATAAGAATTAAAATAAAAGTATTACTTTAAAGGCACCAAACAGTGAATGAGTAATATTTAGCAACAATTGAAATTTCTCTTATTATATGTATAAGAAAAACATAATTCAGAAATAGTAAGGAACATCCATTGTTGACTTACTTTAAAAAAAGAGATTTTGCACTTACTATGTGAGAACTATAGCCACAGCATCATTAAGGACACTTTCTCCAAAAAGGAGAGTATAAAGATCTGTATCAACATGAAGTTCATGAAAAATAGCTAGGACTGTCACTAGAAGAAATAAAAAAGAAAATACGTTATGCTCAGATTTCTTTTGACTAAATGAATTAAAGGCCATACATATCATGCCTTTTTGAGGTAAACAATATTAAGTGTATAAGACAGGAAAAAGAAATGTAGCTAAATCTAGTTTATACCAACACAAATCACTATACCACTTTAAATCTTTTTATTTTTGCAAACAATTGTTGTTTACCTACTATCTTTCTAACAGTATTTATATGCCTTAAAATTTCCCTGTCCTTTGTTTTTCATCTTTAACGAACATTCTACCAAGATATACAAGTTCAATGGCTCACTCTAAGTTTTGTTATTTATATGTAATTTGCAACAGCTTCGTCCAGTTCCCTGTCAATATAACTACCTTGGTCTTGGATACATTATTTTTTAGTTCTATATTCCATACTGCATCATATATTCCAATATTTGCTGCAACTCATTCAGATTCACACATCTCTAATGTCACCATTAGCATCTCTTATACATTTACCCTAATTATATTAAACAACCAAGAGGTCATCATGCTTCTTTATCATATTCCTTGCTCAGTATTGAACTGTTCACTGAGCATCCCATTTATTTTCACATGCTTTATTTCTATTGGAAACACTTCTGTCACATTCACCAACCAATATTAATTTCATATTTACACAAAATGTTCTATAACTCACTTTCTGATATGCATTCTCTAAATGAACAAATGCACAATAAACAATATTTTTCAATTCTTATATTTCTCAGTGACTGATGAAAACTATGTTATACACACATAAAGCTGCAGGACATTGTGGTGGTTGTTACTTCCTCTGTCCTTTCAGTCAGAATTCTGGCAATCTCCTTCTTAAGTACACTTAACAAAATCATCATCCCACAAAGTTTTTCTCTTTTGTTATCACCTTTGTTTCTTTACCTTTTGTTTAAGAGTACAATAGTTCTCTATTGCAACCACAATTGGAACAAGAAAATTTGTTAAGTGGTATGACCTGATTTTATGATCTTTTTATCATCATGGTCATCATGGTCATTAAGTGAGACATCACATGATCATGATTGGCAACCTTCCTTGCCAGCTTTCCCATTGACTTAGCTTCTTAGAAGCCAGCCAGTGAGGTTGCAAATCATGATCATGTGATGTCTTGCTTAAAGACACTGGTGATTTGCTTAATGACCACAGCAAGAAAGGTTTTAATTGGGTATGGTAATGTAAAGCTTTGTTTAATGACCACATCACTTGGTCATTAATTGTGGTTGTAAGTTATAGATTACCTATAACCATTTATTTTAAGTACCGGACACAAATCCTGTTTTTGCATACATTTTGAATAATGTGCACTTAAGCAATCATATTAATGGATTTTAGACTCACTATGAACTCTCTTGTCTGTTTAGGCATCTGGGATATGTATAATGGGTGAATGTAGATTTGGCATAACTGCATAACAGACTTAGTTAGATGGCTAATGAATAAAGGAAGGGTTGAATATACCCTGCCTGGGTTTCCTCATTTGCTTCATTTTTTAAAAAAAGGTAAGATGAGGCAAGTACCTTTTTTGGGGTCATGAAAATGTCTAGGGATGCAGAGGGTCCTATATGCACCATGTTGCTGAAATCTGCTATGGAGCAAGAGATTTCTTTTGATGAAACCTGGAAATTGCTTCCTATTGCTTCCTTGCAATACTTTCAATGGTCATGTACAGCAGGAGATAAAAAGGAAAAAGAATAGCATGGCCATGCACCAAACTGTGATACTAATGATGACTGAAATTAATGGAATTTATAGAGGGATTGATTTATTAATCTACAGGAGAGAGAAGGGGAGGGGAGGGGGAGGGGAGGGAGGGAGGGAGAGAGAGAGAGAGAGAAAGAGAGAGGGAGAACAATTAGTCATGCTCAACATGCTATTCAATGACTAATGGGAATAAAAAGCTTCCCAACTGAACCAGCCATATTGAAAACCTGCATACTAAAAATAACAAGTTCAAACTATAATTATAGATTCCTGGCTTTGCTAATCAGTCATCCCACTCAAAGCTTAACTGAAGAAAGGATTTCTTCACTTACTGTAAGCATCTTAATTATCACGCTGTTTGTTTTTTTCCTCCATCCTCTACAACTTATCAATTTTTTTCAGCTATTTTATATGACTTGGAAAAAAACAACTGCAAGAAGGGAATAAACCACTGCTGTACAGCTGTAACCATAGAAACACCAAATAAAAAAAGAGTATTTGGAACACCCACCTAAATGAAGGTAAGAAGGTTCATGTGGTTTTAAAACAATTCTGCTTCAGCAAACCTTTCCAGATGCAAATATTTTTTTCCTAAACTTTGTATTTCAAAGAGCAAAAAGTTAAAACTATGTATTTTTAGTTTAGTACTCCAAAAATGTTTCTTAAAGATAGGCACTGATCTAACAGAATGCAGGTAGAAGAATAATTAACTTCAGAGGAAATAGACAAGGTTCTCTGCACTGCCAGTTGTTTACTAGATCTAGATCCTTCTGGATCCTAAAAGCAGCCAAGGATGGGACCCATAGTTGAGTCCATGCTATGGTATCTGTATCTCTGAGGGAAGGGAAAGAGGCTGTGCAACCCCTCCTCAAATTGGACCCAATTGTTTTTGACAACTACCAACTTCTTCTTTTGAGGGGAGGAAAGGTTGTTGAGAAGGTTGTCTATAGCTAATGATAGCCTGGGAGAAAACAGTGCAATTACCCTGAACTTTTTGGTTCTTCTTCCATATAGTTCAGAACAATCTTATTTTGGGCTTCCTTCTGAAATATGTTGTGTCCTCCCTGGGAAGCTGCAGTGCAATTGCCAAGATCCGCTCTTTCCCACTCTTTTTCCAGCTGGTACATTCCTTCATAGCTTAGGTTGGAACCATGAATCAACATTTTCCTATAGATTTGACATCTGAGTCATGGGTGAACGCTGCTGATGAGAGCCCAAAAAAGATATTGGTTGTTTATTTTATTTTAAAATATAAAAAAGAGGTGGTGTATTTAGTGGAAATATTGTAAAGCCCATCAATTTTGAAAAATGATTTATGACAGAAAAAACAAATTCTAAAAGTTAAATTTTCCATCAGCCACCTGCTTTTAGATCCATTACCTTTCCCCGTTGGTTTATTTGGATTTCTTAACAGCAATTTCTTTTGTTTATTGAAGTGTGAGGTCAATGTATCAAAAACTCTTCTATTGTTTCTTCACATACATTTTATACAAAGCACCATGCATAAAGTGCTGTGTATTTTAATGCCTTATTCCTTTTCAGCCCTAACAATGCCCATTCTCAATATTTATATAGACAATTTATTTTTCTGCCTATTACAAATATGACAGAACAGATGAATATAAAGTAAGTATCATAAAATTTTAAATAGAGGAGCTAAGATGGCAGTCAGACAACAAATGCTGTAAAGAGTTCCTCCAACACTTTACTTTTTATCTGTTTTAAGTACCAGCCCATTTTATTTTACCCCTACACTCTAGTTTCCAATGTAACAGTCCTGTGCTGCCCTATTGGAACCCTCAACCTATATAAAGTATAGAGAAAGGCTCCAGGATATCATTAATCATTATGAGAAAAAGGCAGAAGAGACACTGCACACATTCTGCAACACAACTATATCCAAGCTCATGAAACAGCAGATAGTCAACAATTACCTAACAAGTAGGCAACCATCTTCTATTAGGAATTCAATCCTTTCTTCAGTTCTTGAGGACTTTTATACTAACTTATTTGCCAATTTCAAACAGGAATGATGACTATTGAATTCAAATACATTATTCAGTCACTGAAACCCTATAAGGTACATAGTGAAGATGGGTTCCACTATTGGGAGGGCTGTTTACATAAATAGAAATTCTTGGTCATATCCAAGCAGGTCGGGACCTTTCTATCAGAGTTTCTATATACAAAAAAAAAAAAAAAAAAAAAGACAAGGAATATCCTAAAAACCACAGACCTTTAAGATAGAGTATCAGGGTAGGATGTATGCAAAACATTTCTTCAGAAAGATAAAAGATTGGCTGACTGAGAACATATTAGTGGAAGAACAGGTTGGGTTAGACCTGGGCACCACAATAGATAACCACTTCATTCTATACCATCCTATTACTGAATTTCCAAAGACGGTAAACAGCTGTTTACATATTTCATATATCTTAGCACAGCATTTAACTCTATAAACACAGACACCTTATTGAAGAAGCTGGACAAACTAAATATGGAACCTAGACTTCCATACCTGATAAATGCTTTCTATACAGATACATGCCTCAAAGTTTGTACTGGAATCAATGACTCACACAGAGAACACCATTTACAGTGTTGTTAGATCAGGAAACATCTTGCTACATTATCAGATTACCATTACTTCACCAAGGTAACCACTGGTAGTATTTAATTGTATTAAAGCATTTTGAAGTTCATTCTATTGTTCAATAATATTCAGGAAGAGATAAAAATCAACTTGATTTGTTTCAAATAAATAATATAATTAACTGGAATCCTGAAACATGGGTATAACTTTCCAATTTCTGATTTCTTATAATAACAGTCAAGGAGGTACCAACTGAAAAATGGGAATTGATTTAACTAAATCCCTGATTAGCTTAGCATATATTTACTTTAGAAAATGACAAAGAATTGCTAGATCAATATTCCTATTCAATCTAATGGAAGATTATAGTGGAACAAAATTCTAATGCAATCTTATATATCATTACCTGGATCTGTAGCAGACATGAAAGAACCGAATAATAAACAGTCAGTAAAGTGAAAATCACCAGAGTTCAGCTGATTGACATGCACCAGAGCCTTTACAAAGCCATACATTATCAACCTGCAGGATTGGAAAGGAAGAAGAAAAGGCTATTGAGAACAATTAAAATATGTTTAATGTTCATCTTTACACAGACTTCTCATTAAACTATGAAGTTCTACTCATTACATTTTTATCAATACAGTTTTTGCTTTCATTGACTTTGTCAATCTACTTCTATTTTAGCCCTGAAATATTGGAACAATTTTTTCTATACATTTCGGAAATAAAGGAACCCCCAAACAAATATTTTTTCACTATTATCAGTTTCCTCACTTAGATGATATATTTAGACACTTATTTTTGAGAATAATATGAAGCAAACTGAAGAAGAGATTAGTCTGTCCAAACTTATAGATCTTTCACAGGACTAGCAGAAAATGAGGGGTTGCTGATGCCGCTAAAGCAAGGGTCCCCAACCCCGATCCATGGACCAGCAACAGGCTGTAGCATGCCAGAAACCGGACCACACAAACAAACGAAGCCCCATCTGCAGGATGGAGGCAGAACATGAAACCATGTCCCCTCCGGTCTGCAGAATAATCTCTCTCCAAGGAACCAGTCCCTGGTGCCCAAAAGGTTGGAGGCCACTGTGCTAAAGGGTTTGTTTAGCAGCTTTTCAGGTTTTTTGATTTATTTATACTAATAATACAAGTACAAGCTATAAAAGCTAGGCACTAAAAAGATAGCTATTAATATTTCTGAGAACAGTCAACCAACAAGTCAGTGCTGAGCATTATATATAAATCTTGACATTTTCAGAAATATGGAAAGGGAGGGTGGAAGGGAAAGTGCTTTGAACGCTAATAGAAAATTTCTGCAGTTATGTTATTTGATTGATATAAGCAATATTAATATTATTTTCTGCTGTGTTATCACTTTGAGTATATTTAAACCTCATAAAAGTTATTCTCTTTCTAAAGTAAATATAAATGCCTTGCACTTAAATTCTTTCAGTTGTATCCTAAGCAATTTTATAGGACCTGGCTATAACAAATACTGCTACATTGCCAGGGCTTGTGCTTCAAAGGACCTATCATGGCAGCATGCTTTGTTGTGTTGCCACCAATTTCATTATTTCCATCCCTAGTCCATTCTTAGAGTCCTGACTGCCCCCCTCTAGAAAATGGAGATGTCTTATCCAATTCTGCTCTTAGTGAGTGATGTTACTGTGTTGAATCCTACCACCAACCCTCAGCTGGTTTTCTACCAACTAGAATAAATTAAGTAATTATGTTGAATTATGTTGTGTAGTTAGAATAAGGGTGTAAGAGCACAGTGTCATCATCCATTTTGTGGCACTCAAAGCCCTCAGAGTAACATAGGGCCCAAATTTTAGACTCTGCATTCCACTGGGACATCTAAGACTTAATATGGTTGCCTTAAGCCTTGCATACATTTAAAGAACCCAGTATATATCTCAAATTCTGCTCCTTTTTAATGTGAGTTGTTACACACATTGAATAGGGAAGTGGATTTGATTGTATGCTTGTAGACACCATCATGATTTTTTAAAAAAATCTTTAGGGATAATCCTGTCTCCAGCAAATAGAATTATTCATTCTTTCATTAAGATTAGCAGACATCAATCATATATATTCTTTCACCCCGTTAAATCTACATGGAAACAAATTACCAGCAAAATGATTGATGTACTGCACAGTATACTTAACAGATTATTTTCTCAATTATGATTTAATTACCCAGACTGTCTGATTTCAGACAACACATGGAACCATACACTGTACTCAGCTGTATAAATTCTCAGTACTGGCTAAGAGAAAGCTGAGGCATCTTCATTTATTTCACTGTGTTTAATAACAAATGAAATTTAGTGTGTAAGGGTGCAATACCAAATGAAACCAGCAGCTGAATTCTCGCAATTGAAGATAGTATTGATATTGGTATTCATTTAAAATTGCAAAGAAGAAATTTAAATTGAGTTGACATCTTTGTTTAGATCATGGGTGTCAAACTTGCCATGTCACGTGATGTGTCACAATGTATCGCAACTCTTTTCGCATTGCTGGCAATGGGGTGGGCGCAGCTTGGGTATGATGAAACTGGCCCGCGGGCCGGCAGTTTGACACCCCTGGTTTATATGTTGGTCTGTTCTAGGTACTGTTCAGCCACATTGAATTTTCCTTTTCCAGATACCTGAATCTATGTATCAATTGAATGTCAAGGAGAGGCATTCACTATTGTTAAATCATGTCTTCTTGTAATTGTGCTAAAACATTAATCAATCTTTAGTTGTACTAAAATTGTATTAAACAGGGGTTTGTGCTCTGATAATTTTAATGCACATCTCAGTAGCTCAGTATATTTTCTAACCCGATATAGTATCCTGCTCTTATTAGATGCCCTCAGGCTTTTCTGTTCCTAGACACGATTATCTTATAGCCTAAAGCTCCTTTACAGATGATACTGGGTGAAAACATACACTCAAATATAATGAAATATTTGGTTGTTATCTCAGAACAGAGGCAATGTAACACAATAAAACTGAGGCAATATAGGAATAGGATATTTGTTCATTCTGTACAACAAGGACAAGCAAACTCAGACTAAATAGATATATTTAGAATTTAAAGAGTGTGTCACAAAATAGCTGTGACCAGGTGAGTTACTTTTGCATCCATAAAATGGTTGTTATATTTGGGGTATCTGGTAAAAAGACATATTTACCAGAAGGCAGATTGAGATCACTCCCTGTCATCACAGGGTGTAGTATAGTCATATAACCATTTGGGTTTTTTTCCCTGGGCAAGCAGACAGACTTCCAAACAAACTATTTTGTTGCAGTAATCTATCTTTTTAATTTTTTAAGCATGTCTCCATGTTCTTCATGGAATTCAAAGCCATGTCAGCTGCCTATTTAGTCATTTATTTTAAAGAAAAGAATATTTTACTATTGCAGTAAGTTGGAATGGCTGTGAATTGAGTTTCAATGGTATCGCTGAATGGAATTACACTTCCCTGTATCACACCTGATTTGAAATTTTGGGTTGCTCCTGCTTGATTAGGACAGCTTTTATCCATTTGGAAATCATGATTAGGACAGCTTTTATCCATTTGGTGTAACCGTTAATCCTTTCCTGGCTCAGTGCCCAGTCTGAGGTTGCCTTGAAGCATATGTAGTAGCTTAAACTTGTTCAAATTGCAGCTGCTTGGGTAGCCATGGGTAGACCTAAATTTGTCCATATAATTCATCTAATCCAAGAGCTATATTGACCCACAGTCAGCCTCTGAATGCAACCTAAGATATTATCACCTCTGTACCTTATATGTCTGAGTTTTAAGATACTTGTGGACAATAAGAGAGGAATTTTTATCACATTTTCCTTATGAATAAATACCCTGTTGCCTATCCCTAACCTATATTAATAGCTTTATTTGGCAAAAGATAATTAAGCTGTTTAAAATTGTACTTGCCAAAAGGCAATTCCTTTATTCATGAGCAGTTGAGCAAGCTCCCCAAAGCCCTTAATTTGTTATGAGTAGTTTATCTGTTCAGATATTGTGAATGCAGGCCACCAGTGCTTTAAATATCCTGTAAGCTGACCCACTGTGCTTTGTTCTTAATATAATGGCTTCAACCTGGTTAGGTTCTTGATTTCACCATCCTGATTGCAGTGAGGGAAATACTCTAAAATACTGGTGTCAAACTCCCCTTGTCACATGACATGTCATGACGTATCATGACTTTTTTGCATTGCTGGAGCTGGGGTGAGCGCAGCCTCTGCATGATGCAACCGGCCCGTGGGCCGGCAGTTTGACACCTCTGCTCTAAAAAGTATAGAACTACTGGGTCTACATTGCAAAAATCTGGATGACTGTTAGATGACAGAGAATTCTTTGCTATCTTCAAATAGTTATCTGATAACCCACAGAATGGGAAGCATACCATAGTTTTCTAATAAAGAAAGTTCTAGGATCAAGCAGAAAAATTTACTGAAAACTAACAGAATTATATCTCCTTTTTAGGCCTTGATTTGAATGAATGAGTGATAAGGAGAATGAGTGGAGAGAGATGGATATGATACCAGGATGCTGATACTGTACTCAATCCTTACATATTTTCTGGCAACAGGGACAGACATTTCTAAACAGTTTGTATGAAGTAGCTATATTTTTTACATTAAACATTATTTGGCTTAATTTGTTCAATATTCATTATGAAGTTTTGTTGCATTTTAGATAAAAGTATGAAAATCAATTCACACTAGGTGAAAGTAGATTTCTGCTTACTGCATTAGAAGTTACCTGTCAATGAAGAAAAGCTAAAATGAAGAACATGGTGGTTAGGTTTCAATTTACATTAGAGATTTTATTACAGCATAACATCAAATCTGAAGAACTGCTATGAAGAATATATTTAGTACTTAGTCTCTAAATAATTACTGAAATCTCATAATTACCAAGACAAACGAAGCATGAAACACTATCAATCGTAGACAGTTCAAAACTTGATGTTGCTGAATTTTTCATCTTACTCCAAATCATTTGAATTTTAAATCAAGTTACTAAAGCTTACCTTAGCTCTTCATACTGCTTCCACACATTTTTCAAAGGAGCCAATTATATATACATTAACTAAATGAACTTTTAGAAAACATTCATACAGACCAATGAATAACCTTATGAAATTAATCAGAACTTAATTTGGACTACAACTATGCTCAATCAATTAATAATGCATTTGGAAAGGCTTCCATAGAGGAAGAATAAAGAAAAAGCAAAAGAAGCTGTAAAATAAATTACCTAGAAGCTAGTGCTATTGTACAATGTACAACAATGACTGGTGCTCATAAATATAATAATAATAGTAAAGTTGGAAGGGACCTTGGAGGTCATCGAGTCCAACCCCCTTCTCAGGCAGAAAACCCTACACCATTTCGGACAAATGGCTGTTCAGTCTTTTCTTAAAAACTTCCAGTGTTGGAGCATTCACTGCTTCTGGAGGCAGGTTGTTCCATTGGTTAATTGTTCTAACTGTTAGGAAGTTTTACCTTAGTTCT